CGTGCTTTGTAGCATACCTTGGGGGAGGCCTATGTTCGGTAGTGGACTTGTGAAGGGTTGTAATGATGATGATGATGATACCACATTTATATTTTGTATTAAGTTATCATTCGTCTCCGCTAGGGTTGATAATGTTTTGTGATGTTTACCAACTAAATTGGATAACAGAAAAACACGATTTAAAACAAATCGCGAAATATAAAAAAACAACAGTGCGAACGCTAACGTTGACAAATCTATAGATAAACAAGTAAAATGTCTATGTTGTAATCAATGCGAACACAGCTAAAAACAAATCATGATATCTGTTGAAAATTTTACACAGTTTTTGTGAGTGCGAACGCTACCATCAACAAAACATGTTGTGTGATTTATTTTATGCGATTTGTTTCAAAACATTACATGTTGGATGTTTCTCAGTGCAAACGTACTGTTATACATCGAAAAAATAGTAGACTGTCTGCTTTTGACAATATACGAAACTTGCCCAAATTGTGAAGTGCCCGACCCCGTGTCTGAGAGTCAGAAAGAGGTGGAACACAAAAGAATGCAGTTGGAGAAATGGAAAGAAGAAAAGGGGGAAAAAAGAAAGAAGCTGCTGCACAATGAAAAACTTTTTGTTGCTGGTATTGTGCACCCCCCATTAAAATATGTTCCACCACCTCTACCTAGACCAATGCCTAGTACATCAGGAAGAGTTTCTCAGTCTATTAGATCAAATTGTCAAATTACACAGAAAAATTCCAAATGCTCAAAATCAACCAAACCTTTACATTCATTTAAAATGCAAAATAACCTACATAGTTGACATCAAATTATTTATTTTGCACTTTGTTTAACACTGAACATTGCAGCCCAGAGAACAAGTTACCAAAACTCATGCACACTAGTAGTTAATAAAGCCTTCTTTTGGCTAACATCTAGCACTACTGGGTCAAATGTTGTATCAATTTTTTTTCTCTTATTTTGTACCCTTGACAAAGTAGGAAGTTTTGTTATAATTTTTAGCTCCAGAGGTTTAAATGATGCATTACTTGGTGCAAATGAATGTAAAGGTTTGGTTGATTTTGAGCCTTTGGAATTTTTCTGTGTAATTTGACTATTAGTTCTAATAGACTGAGAAACTCTCCCTGATATACTAGGCATTGGTCTAGGTGGAGGTGGTGGAACATATTTTAATGGAGGGTGCACAATAATAGCAACAAAAGGTTTTTATTGTGCAGCAGCTTCTTTCTATTTTTTCTCTTTATCTTCTTTCCATTTCTCCCAACTGCATTCTTTTGTGTTCCACCTCTTGCTGACTCTCAGACAATGGGTCAGACACTTCACATTTAGGCAAGTTTCATATACTGTCAAAAGCAGAGAGTCTACTACTTTTTCAACGATGTATCATATTCCTTTCTAAGCACTTTTGAACATGTAAAATCATGAATATCGATTGTAATATTATGGAAATTGTGACGATAATAATTATCCTTTTTAGTTTTTAAAAGAGTTTACTAACATACCATATTCATGATTGAATATGAGCAAATTAATGGTAACAAGCTATAATACGATTAACATTTGCATTGACAGCTACGCTCAGAATTTGTGTAGGTCTAGGTTTGTGCATATGCTTCTTCTCTTGATTCTTCAAGAAAGAAACCATATCAACTCTTACAGGTTCAAAACCTTTTAGAAAGGAATGTTATACATCGAAAAAGTAGTAGACTGTCTGCTTTTAACAGTATGTGAAACATGCCTAAATGTGAAGTGCCTGACCCAATATCTGAGAGTCAGAAAGAGGTGGAGCACAAAAGAGAGCAGTTGGAGAAATGAGAAGAAAAAGAGAAAAAAAGAAGCTGCTGCACAAAAAAAAAACCTTTTGTTGCTGGTATTGTGCCCCCCCCCCTTTAAAATATGTTCCACCACCTCCACCTAGACTAATGCCTAGTATATCAGGGCGAGTTTCTCAGTCTATTAGAACTAATAGTCAAATTACACAGAAAAATTCCTAAGGCTCAAAATCAACCAAACCTTTACATTCATTTAAAATGCAAAATAAATAATTTGATGTCAACTATGTAGGTAGGTACCTACATAGTTGACATCAAATTATTTATTTTGCACTTTGTTTAGCACTGTACATTGCAATGCAGCAGCCCAGAGACCAGGTTACCAAAACTCACGCTCACTGGTAGTTAATAAAGCCTTCTTTTGGCTAACATTAGCACTACTGTGTCAAATGTTATATCAATATTTTCCCTCTTATTGTGTACCCTTGCCAAAGTAGGAAGTTTTGTTATAGTTTTTAGCTCCGGAGGTTTAAATGATGCATTACTTGGTGCAAATGAATGTAAAGGTTTGGTTGATTTAGAGCCTTTGGAATTTTTCTGTGTAATTTGACTATTAGTTCCAATAGACTGAGAAACTCTCCCTGATATACTAGGCATTGGTCTAGGTGGAGGTGGTGGAACATATTTTAATGGGGGGTGCACAATACCAGCAACAAAAGGTTTTTTTGGTGCAGCAGCTTCATTCTTTTCTTTTTCTCATTTTCTTCTTTCCATTTCTCCAACTGCATTCTTTCGTGTTTCACTTCTTTCTGACTCTCAGACATTGGGTCGGGCACTTCACATTTAGACAAGTTTTGTATAATGTCAAAAGCAGACAGTCTACTACTTTTTCGATGTATAATATTCCTTTCTATGCGCTTTTGAACCTGTAAGATCATGAATATCGATTGCATTATTACGTAAATTGTGGCAATAATAATTACCTTTCTAGTTTTTAAAAGAATTTACTAACATACCGTATTCATGATTGAAAATGAGCAAATTAATGCTAACAAGCTATAATACGATTAACATTTGCATTGACAGCGACGTTCAGGATTTGTGTAGGTCTAGTTTTGTGCATATGCTTCTTCTCGTGATTCTTCAATAAAGAAACAAAATCAACTCTTACATGTTTAAAAGTGCTTAGAAAGGAATATTATACATCAAAAAAGTAGTAGACTGTCTGCTTTAGACAGTATACGAAACTTGCGTAAATGTGAAGTGGCTGACCCAATGTCTGAGAGTCAGAAAGAAGTGAAACACGAAAGAATGCAGTTGGAGAAATGGAAAGAAGAAAATGAGAAAAAAGAAAAGAAAGAAGCTGCTGCACCAAAAAAAAACTTTTTGTTGCTGGTATTGTGCACCCCCCATTAAAATATGTTTCACCACCTCCACCTAGACCAATGCTTAGTATATCAGGGAGAGTTTCTCAGTCTATTGGAACTAATAGTCAAATTACACAGAAAAATTCCAAAGGCTCTAAATCAACCAAACCTTTACATTCATTTAAAAATGCCAAAGTAGGAAGTTTTGTTATAGTTTTTAGCTCCGGAGGTTTAAATTATGCATTACTTGGTGCAAATGAATGTAAAGGTTTGGTTGATTTAGAGCCTTTGGAATTTTTCTGTGTCCATTACTACTGATGGTGGAGCAAATATAGTGTCAGCGGTACGATTATTTTTAGGTGATGATCACAGGATTCCTTGCATGGCTCACTGCTTAAACCTTGTAGTTGATGAGGTACTCAGAGAAATTAACGCATTTTCAGTACTTTGCGATCACGTCAAAGCCATTGTGACGTTTTTTAAGCAGTCAGTTAATGCTATGGACCAATTGAGAGCTGAACAAGAATTAACTGGAAATAAAGAAGGCGAGGTGTTGACATTGATACAAGCTGTTAACACTAGATGGAATTCTTGCTTTGATATGTTAGAGAGATTCGTTAAACTGTCTGCACTTGTAGCTAAAATTTTAGCTACCAAAAGCCAAACAAACAAAAATACCCCAGATATGGTTACAACTTCGCAACTTAATAAAAAACTTAATGAAAGAAGCTACTGAAGAAATAAGTGGTGCCAATTATGTGACGGCAAGCTTAGCCATTCCTCTATTAAATTTAGTTTACCAAGTAACCGATCAATCAACTCCGTCGACCACTGTAGGAATAAATGTAAAACAGGCTTTACTCAAAAAAATTGAAGAGAAACTAGTTCCTCTAGAACGAAATACTTTTCTCTCAGTAGCTACAATTTTGGACCCTCGTTTCAAGCGTATCCACTTTAATTCTCCAATTGCCGTATCAAATGCTATATCAAAAATAAGCGACGATATTCGCTCAGAATATAGGCGTAGAGGACAACGTTCTCCAGGTGTAAGGTCTGACCGAGCAACATCAAAAAAAGCAAATGAGTCATCAATCTGGTGCAGGCATGAGCAGCTTTTAAATCTGAGAACAGCTACGCAAGAGGTCCCAAGCTCTGGATCTGTCCCCAATGAGCTTAAGCAATATCTGGACCAACCACTTCTTGAGAGGAAGTCAGATCCAATAAAGTTTTGGGTAAATTGCCGACATTTCACGCCGGTTCTTTCGGATATCGCTCTTAAATATTTAATATGTCAAGCTTCCTCGGTATCATCCGAAAGGGTTGCTTCGACTGTTAATTTAACAGTGCCGGATAATAGGAGCAGATTGACAGGTGAGCACATTAAAGAAAGAGTACTGCTGATGTCTATTTCAGACGAATACTGGTATCAGTGATGGTTAATTTTAAACAATATAAATGTACGATTTATGAATAAACAAAGTAATAAATATATCAGATATGTATTTTTATTTTTTATTATCTAATTTTTGAGATTGCAAACTATATAGGTAACCTTCTCTTGAACAAAAAATGTCGATAAATCGGAATATCGATATTTAAAAAAAATATATATCGATACATTTGAAAAGAATCGATATGATATATATCGATATATTTTTTCCATTTGCCCATCCCTAATTGACAGCTCCGAAGAGTGACCATGAGGGAATCTACCAAAGACTGCTAAAATCTACTGAAATTACTAGGTCGCATTTTAAAATCTACAAATTTTTAGAGTAATGTTTTGATTCGAAATAAAACACATTTGTTAATGAACCCTACATGTAATCAATTATTTACAATTAACATTTTTGTATTAATTGTCAATGTCATCGAATTTTTTAACATTTTTATATAACTGTTTCTCATTTTTCTTTGTTTCCAACATTGAAGTACCAGGTTCAACAAACATAACATTTGTTGCACTCACAAGAACTGCACACAAAGATCTTAAGAATTCTTGACACCTTTTGAAAATATCTTGAAGCTATTGCGGGGGGCATTAGATTGCGATGTAATTCTAAAATTAAAAATTAAAATTAACACCCAAATACAAATTGTTTAAGGGTAAATAATTTACGGAAGAATTGGGGTCAATATTCTTCATTGATGTAGTTTTTACATATTGGCTCTTCGTATAACAGCTCAAAATGGAGACAAACATGGCTCGCATGTCATTGTACAAGCGATGCACGACAGGGTAATCTCCTTGGCAAATCGTGTTGAATTTATTTGTGAACGGTTATATATAATCAAGGAAATAGTAATATAGTTTTATAGTTTCGTCATTTAAGGCATTATAAAGAAATTCCGCAGATGCATTAGAGTTTCTATCTCCCAAATACTGCCCCTGAAAATATAATTTCAATACTGACCATTGTTGTAATATTCGATTAATACAACCGTGAAGGAAAAGCCAGCGTAAATCGTAATGTATGAGTAGCTCATAATTTTCTGTATCGGTAAACTCTTGGCGTTCTTTGAATTCGTGCTGACGTTTACTACTTTGAGAAAAATAATTATAAACTTCTTTGACCAATTGCTCCAATTTTCGTGGCAGTAGTTTGCACGAATGGCTTACAGCTAACGCAACGGAATGACACACGCATTTGACATATACACAGTGTGGATTTAGTTCTTTCATTTTAGTCACAATTCCATAATGTTCGCCAAACATAACATTTGTCGTGTCAGCTGCGAAGCCAGTCACATCTTCCCATTTAAGATCATGTTCTTCAAATACAGTTTTGAGTGCCTTTAACAAGTCTTGTGCTGTTTCACCGTCTATATCTATTATACTTAACAATCTAGACTTCACTTATTTTTTTACTTAATTCTGATATGGTCCTTTAATTTTGTTTGTCTTTTCTTAGTTTTAGGAGTAGTTTTCTTATAATCTTTTAGTGTCATTTTCGGTATGAGTTGTCTTGGGTTTTGAGAATTTCTTGAATAGTGGACCATATATTTCGTTTATTACATTGTTATTTTTTCTTCTACTTCATTTTTTGGTTTGTTTACTAAATATTGTGTTTTTGTAATGTTGACTTTTACATCAAATTTGTTTCTACTATATTTCACTTCTAGATTATTTATTACTGCTCTCACCTTACGATGGTTGGTCAATCATTACGGTCAACAAATTTGTAGATAGTTTAAGTTTCGTAATTGTGATATCTGCTTCATAACTCTCCTGTCAACTTTTTTATCATGAAAATGAAGGAGAGTGCTATAAAAAGTACTTTCATGTATGATATTAGTCTATATTCTACAACGCTAATTTCCCTTAGAACCTTAAATTACAGTACGACGACGCTCGTGATCTAGACGACTTTTTAAAGTACCTGGCACGTATTATGTATGTTATTATTAATGTTTTTAATGTATTTTTAATTATATTGTATTAAAATTTAAGCACGGTTCATGATATTTTTTTACTTTGAATTTGTTATGTAACTAAATTAAAATGAGAGTTTCAAAAAAAAAATAACTAACTAGAAACCACTAGGATCAATAAAATTCAATTTAATATTAATATATTGTCAATACAATGTATTGTCATATCAATATCTAAAATCTAAAGGGGGTGTTCGACTTTAGCCGCATATTGGGAGGGCCACGGGAACGTATTCGCAAACATCCGCGGAACCACCGGAAGGCCCGCCTTCTTCCACGGCCTCAACTCCACCTGCGACAGGAAAAATTAAAGCATTATCATGTAAAGAACGTAAAGATATTGTGAGCCTCTCTATTGAGCGAAATGTAGAAATGGCATGTATTGAGTTTGAGCACCTCATTGTTGTAAGCGTTTACAGACCCCCCCAGCTCTTTATACGATACTTTCGAAAAAATCATGGAGGAAGTTTTCGCTAAGCTTAATAAACAGAATAAATCTGTTGTAATATGTGGAGACTTTAATATCAAACTCCTAGAAGCTTCGTCAACCAATATTAAATTTAGATCATTGTTTAAATCTCATGGTCTTTTTAATTTATTTTTGGAGCCAACACGTATTGCTGAATCTAGTGTAACATGTATAGATAACATTTTTACAAATGTTAAGCGGTTCAATAAATGTATAATTCAAAAATTGAGCTCTGATCACTGTGGACAATTAGTTTCATTACCTTATGTTCACAAAAAGCAAATAGATAAAAAAAGTAGTGTTTGTTCCAGTAAATGCACATCGCTTGGAGAAGTTTAGAAGTAACATAGTAAAAAAACTTCCATTACTTTCATACCAAAATAATCCAAATATTTTGTATGGGACATTATTTAAGCTTATTTGCAATGAATTTAATAATACTTTTACTTCTAAAACATTCTCCTTGAACAATAGCAAAGCATTTAATGATTGGGCGACAGTAGGAGTCCATAAGAGTAGACAAAGGTTATATGAACTTTACAATGAAAGGTCATATAATCCTAGCGTCAAATTTAGGGAATATGTAAAAAAATATTCCAAAATATTTAAAAGAGTGTGCTCCTTAGCCAAGTTATTGTATTTGAGCAATAAAATAAAGACTGCTTCTAATAAAATTAAAATTACATGGAGTATAATTAATAGTGAAACTGGTAAGGTCAACTCTCGCAATTCAAACTACCAGTTAAGTTTTAACAATAAAAAAACTAAATCAGATCAGGATGTTGCAATGGTTTTTGAGAAATATTTTAGTGATAATCCGATCTTAACCACTAAGTCACTGAATTCTTCTCCTGCCGTCGCCGAATCATTACTTAAACAAAATGTAAATGTGTATACAAAGAATTTTACGAGTACATTTCATAAACTGTCATCAAAAGATATTGTACAATATTTTAAAGCTATTGATATTAAGAGAACCGCCGATCTGTGGGGGATTTCTGTTAAAGTTATTGCGTCTATAATAGATGCGATCGCACCTCAACTATCTATTATTTTTAATACTAGTATTGAATCTCGTGTGTTTCCTGAATTAATGAAGCATAGTAAAGTAATACCTTTATTTAAATCTGGTAGTACATTGGACCCCTCTAATTTTAGACCTATTTCTGTACTGCCAACACTTAGTAAAATTTTTGAAAAAAATATTCTTATATCAAATGTTAAATTTTTTTAATGTAAATAATTTATCTCATAAAAATCAATTTTTACATTTAACAAAAAAAATTGGTGGTGTTGAGCTGATTAAATATATTATATTTGATGCATGGGAGAATTTTAGCAATATATAATTTAAAACCAAGAGTCACTGAGACAAAAATTTAAGGAAATTAATATATTAACACAAAAATTAAAGTAGTTTTGCGAAAATAAGTGATATTCATTCGGAAAACACTAGGAACAGACACAAGCTAGTGCCAGTTACTCGACTCCACCAAGTCAGTAATTCATTCTTGGGGCGATGTATACGCTTTTACAACAAAATCCCAGAAAATATACAAAATTTGTCATACACGAAGTTCAAAAATGTTATTAACCTAAGTTTGTATAAAAAGGGTTATTATAATATTAAGGAATTTATGGATGATAATAACCCCTGGGAAGGGTGATCGCTACCAAGCTATTTCTAATTTGTCTTGTGTTGTTTATTGTAAACATTATTGTAAGCTATTATTGGAAAAAATAGTCCCGCTGGGTTTCTTGCTGGTTCTTCCCAGGACAGAGGTTTTTTTTTTTGTGAACCAGTAGTAAATGAAAAAAGTGACTTTTAATAAGTATTGTTATAATCTACATTGAATAAAAAAGTTTATGTTTCTGTTTCTATTGAAATTATATTTTCAGGGACAGTATTTGGGAGATAGAAACTTTAATGCATCTGCGGAATTTCTTTATAATGCCTTAAATGACGAAACTATATTTATATTTCCTTGATTATATATTACCGTTCACAAATAAATTCAACACGATTTGCCAAGGAGATTACCCTGTCGTGCATCGCTTGTACAATGACATGCGAGCCATATTTGTCTCCATTTTGAGCTGTTATATGAAGAACCAATATGTAAAAACTACATCAATGAAGAATATTGACCCCAATTCTTCCGTAAATTATTTACCTTTAAACAATTTGCATTTAGGTGTCAATTTTGCCATCATTTTACAATCAAAAATTCTTAAGATCTTTGTGTGTGCAGTTAAAAACAAGACTACCATTTGATGACGATATTTTTGAAATGAAGTGCTTCTTAGATCCCCAAACTGCTGTACATGCTGAATTTACGAGTTTGTTTAATATTACCTCAAAATTTCCAAACATTGTGTCCGAAAGTGACATTCAACTAATCGACAATGAATTCAGGGAACTTAAACTTAACACTGAAGTCACTAACTTATTATGCAGTACTACCAGCAGAGAGGCTGTTACTAATTTTGAAGAGTTTTTGGCGTCCGTAAGTAAATTATGTCATGCTGACAATAAAGCTCAATTCGGAAATATCAGTAAATTTGCAAAGCAAATGCTTTGTTTACACATATCGAACGACAAATGTAAACGCAATTTCCCTGCTATAAATAGAATAAAAACAGAAGATCGTAACAGATTTAGTAATCTAAACGTTCGTGCGATTTTACACCCTAAGGAGGGGGTTAAAGGAATCGGGAAATGGTACAAAATTTGAACCTGGTACTTTAATGTTGGAAACAATTAAAAATGAGAAACAATTATATAAAATGTTAAAAAATCCGATGACATTGACAATTAATACAAAAATATTAATTATTAATAATTGATTACATGTAGGGTTCTTTAACAAATGTGTTTTATTTCGAATCAAAACATTACTCTAAAAATTTGTAGATTTTAAAATGCGATCTAGTAGATTTCAGTAGATTTTAGCAGTGTCTTTGATAGATTCCCTCCTTTGAGAATTACATCGTAATCAAATACCCCCGCAATAGCTTCAAGATATTTTTAAAAGGTGTCAAGAACTTTTAAGATCTTTGTGTGCAGTTCTTGTGAGTGCAACAAATGTTATGTTTGGTGAACCTGGTACTTCAATGTTGGAAACAATGAAAAATGAGAAACAGTTATATAAAAATGTTAAAAAATTCGATGACATTGACAATTAATACAAAAATGTTAATTGTAAATAATTGATTACATGTAGGGTTCATTAACAAATGTGTTTTAATTCGAATCAAAACATTACTCTAAAAATTTGTAGATTTTAAAATGCGATCTAGTAGATTTCAGTGGATTTTAGCAGCGTCTTTGGTAGATTCCCTCATTTAAAAGTGGTCACGCTGCATAGCTGTCAATTCCGCGTCCATACGCTAGCGCTAGAAGGTCCATGTTGTGCATCGCACGTTGTTCGCGGTTTCTCGTTCCTTCGCGCACAATTCGTTAAATAGACAAAATGTAGAGAGTAACAACAATTCAATTCTAATCACTGAGGCAAACAACAAAAACTTCTATTTTGACATTTGTGATGATTTGTCCCACAATGCATAGCATAAAGTAGTTAGCGAACTACTTTAGCGATGCGTTCATTATAATGAATGCATAGTGTCGTTCTCCCTCTAGTTTGTTTATTTTTTACCCGATTGCGGAGGGTAATGTGTTTATCAGCCTATATATGAATGTATGTATGTTTGTTCCGTTGTGGCGCTCTGGAGACCAAACGCGTGGGCCGAATTTGATGATTTTGTCACGAAGTGTCATTAAAGACAGTAATTAAAATTCAATATGGCGTCAATCAGACGCCATGTTGCTTAAAAAGAAAAAATGAAAGTCGACGAACTAGTAAACTATAATACAAGAACGAATAATCTACAGAACGAGTATGTATGATACTGATTTGGTCTTTGAAAACCATATTTAGCTTTTTCTAGTAATTTTTCATTTTGATTTAGAATCTATAACGATATAAAGTTGATTAGCGACCATTCTCGCTTAAAAACTTATGATAAAGTTATTTTAAAATCGGCTAATAGGTATTATTAGTACTTTTGCAGTCTGGTTTTTAAAAATTATTAATCTTGCTTGTCTGTAGCCTATACGTTGCGTTCGAGCGCACAATGAGACTTCATAGAAATGTTTGTGAACACGGATGTTAGCATAAGGGCATTTTTTTATTTTGTTGTCTCATTTTTTTAAAGTTGAGTAAAAAATAAAGTTGATGCTTTTTCTTTTAAAATTAATTAATTTAGTTCCTCATTCTGTGAATTACCATTATTTATAATAATAAAACATAAATAGTACAGAAATAAGAATATAATTACCTTTTACTTAAAGAAGTTAGCAAAATGTTATCCACTGAGAAACAAAATGTTGGTTTGTAAAAAATATAATAAAACTCAATGTACATTATTTTTTTTTATTTCATGATTAAAATAATGAGAAACATTAATGAAATAATGTCAAATAAACATAAAACATAACTAAAGTAACCGAGTATTTGGAACAGTAAGTCCTGTGAGTTACATTGCTGACTTTTCCGCATACTTTTTATTCTTCTAAAATTGGTAACTACGATCATATGACAGTTAAAATCCTTCTATAATTAATTAAACATTTTCATAAAACGACAAAATATAAACAAAACACTTGCATAGCAGAAAATCTAAAAAAAATATTCAAAATCAATAAAATAAAATAAGGGGACAATCTCTCAATGGAACGTAACTAAAACGTAAAGCCGTGTCCACATTATTCAATTAATACTATTATTTTGGTAAATATAATAAACATAAATGAGAAACAATGCAACATCTTATAAAGGTATTCTTGGTGTCTACTTATCCTATTTAGATATTACTATAAATCAGTCTTTACTAAGTTACTAACAGCTATTTCTATAATCAACAAAATCAACTAATAACTGATTATAAATTATTGAAATCAATTATTTATAACAAAATTCACAGATATAATCACAACTAAGATTTAAATTGCCAGAGCATTTTATACAGTAATAGAAACCACACCGGGTACACTTGTTTAGGCAAGCATTAAAAAGATAATGTTTTTTACACTGATTACATGGTAAAGTGCGTTTAATTATTGTTTTCAAGGACTTACATTTTTCGGTTTTGCTCGCGGTGAATACATTTTCGGTTGATATATTCTTAATATCTAAAATGTTAATTTTTTGTTTTTTAGGAACAGGTTCATCCATGACATTTTCCTCAGCACCATTATTCAAATTTATATCCAAGTCCAGGCTAATATCATTTAAGGAAAGGGGTTCTTGGTCCTCAATCTGTATCCGGTTGAAATCCATATTTTCTTTGTTTGAATTAACGATTTCATCAGAGTTCTTAGGTATCGGTAAATATTCCAGATTGTTTTGATAGTTTTCATGGATATCAGCTGTAACCGTGATCACAACATGATCAGGCTCAGCTACTTTTGCGACTTTCATTGGAGATTTTTTGGTTGATGTAGCAGATGAATCAAAGTTTGAAGAGTTTTGTATGTCCGTTTGATGATCAGGAGAAAAGTTAACAATCTCAGTAGGAGAATCGCATCTTTTGGTAATCTTTTGTAATATTCTGTTGTTAAAAACATGTGTTTTCGGAACGAAACAATTACAACAACCCCTTTTAATGCCACAAAAACAGGACAGAGTTCTATATTTAATGCAGTTTGGTGTACATGACAAAATTTGATGTATTTTCATAGTGCCTTTTATTGTGCTGAGATTTTCGGGTATAATCTTTTTAATATTATCAATATCTCTGTTGGGTATATATATAATTTTTACGACTTTCATACATTTTGAAAGATGCTCGTATGCTTGTAAGCCATTCTCAACATCCCTGCCAAATGCAACTTGACGATCTAAAGCTCTCTTAACCGAACCTCCTATGCCATCCGCCACTCCTTTCCCATGACCTGCTTCAGAATACGACCAGGTGGTATAATCAAGCTTCAACTTTTCTGTGAATAAATTGAGCAGGAAAAAATTGTTTCTTTGACGATATTGGGAGGAAGGGCCATCAGAAAAGAAGTGCAGTACTTTTGTCAGGGGGTTTATTTTCTTGATCTCACGGATCACAGGCAAAAGATGCGCCCAAATGGCTGCAGGTTCATGGGCATTGTTGTCTGATATCGTACAAAACGACTGTGATTTCTCAGTACAATAAATCATTCCGGTATGTAACGTTATTTGTCTCTTAGAAGCACCAAAATGTTGAGCTTGGATTTCTTTCCCCATTTTGCAACCATAATTTTCTGAAAAGTCACATATTATTAACGCTTCATGAGGCTTGAGGTTGTTAACACACTCTTGGTATTGTTTTTGTTGGTAAATCCAATTGAAGTGATGAATTTTAAATAATTTCATATTTCTTTCAAAAGCTGATACCAAATCGCCGCGGCTGCCTTCTTTTTGTAGTTTAACTGTTCTTTTTGTTGTAAATTCTTTAGAGATCTTGTTTTCTATTTTTATATATTTATGATCGCTTATACCCCACTGATGCCACTTTACTCTGTCTTCTAGATTTTCTTCCAATGAATCATAATGTATTTTATTGTCTTTGCACTCTTTGCATTCTCCATACATGCAATCTTTCGACTGTATGCTACAACACTGTTTTTTTATAACATCATTTACAGTATTAAAATTATTTAGGATTTGATATTTTTTAAGTGCATAAAACAACATATCAGTATTGTTGTGTTTAATGCACAAACACGTTTCTCTATTTTCAACCGTTGGGGATAAAACAAAAAAGGGTCTATATTTGAAAAATGTCGCGAGACTATATTTTCCACCTTCTTCGCGATACATTTTATATAAGTTAGAGACCGTGTCGGTCAGATATCGAATCTGTTTCTTTTCTTTATTCATTGTACGGCATTGCTTTTTCCCTGCTGTCATCCTACTCACGTCGTCTCTTATATAAAATGTTTCTATTACTTTTCTGATTTTAGTCTGCATTCCGCTTTGGAGTTTAATTCTTGCCAGACCTCTTAGGCCTAATAATTTGGAAACAAAAGTTTTGTTAATGGAATGTTGAACAATGTTGTCAAGAACAATTTTCTTGATATTACGTTTTTCTTTTATGGTTTTGCATCCCATGTAGGATTTTTTTAATGTTGCTTCTAATATCTCCTCTCTTGCTTGTAACTTTAATATTTTTTCTTCAAGTTCCTTAACTTTTCTATCTGTGTCTTGTTTTTGACGATATAAGCGTTTCTTGTATGTACTTACAGTTCTCATTAAAGTTTCTATTTTTTTCAGAGCCGCCTTATATTTTCTGAATAATTTATTTTGACATTTCTTCTTTGGTGTGGTATTGTCTATGTTTTCCTTTTCTATTATTTGAAGTTCCTTTTTTTTAATTGTCTGCTTGCGTTTCTGATTTCGCCATATCTTTCGTTGTTTTTCTTTATCTTTCTCCGTTAGTTCGTTAATTTTTTTAGTTTTAGATTTGACATATTCTGTATGCTTCTTTTTAACAGTATTATACTTTTCCGGATTCTGTTTTAACCTTTCCCTATATTTTTTCATTCGTTCTGCTGCAGTCATAGCCATTTTATCCCTACAACAATGTATTATAATCATTAATTTCAAACAGTACAAAATAGTCAAAAGCAAAATAAAATTTGGACTAAAATGAAATCTAATGGCCGTGTGGATAAAGGCAAAACCGAGAAAAAATGTTTTGCAAATAATAAAAAAATACATATTACTTAAATTACTTGCACTAGTTAATATTATCACTATATTCGTACACTATAATAATATTATAAGTATTAATATATGAATATTTATAATATTATTAAAATCGATATAATATTGCCAATATTATAAGGATACTGGAAAAATAACAATATGAACGTAACTTTAGCCTTGCATTGAGTTACATTTTGATCCGTTGAGTTACAAAATTTCTCAACGGAACGTAACGATTTTGCCGTAACTAAGTAATATGCTAAACATTTTCGATTTTTTAAATAAATTTAACTTAATAGTTAACATATTTGAAATTCACAGATTGCATAACTAAATAATATCTAAACACTGCATAAAACATTGCACTTACCACAGAAAATACCGTAATTCAATGGATTACAAAATGTAACGCCTGACACGTCCTCTTCTCTCGGGCGCTGTCATGCACACTGACGCCATTTATACATTCACAATGGCATCATGCCACGTCTTCTTAAGTGTTGTAAGTTCATAAAAATAAAATGTTGCATCGAAATTTTTGATGAAATATGGAAAAAAAGTACGTAACTCAATAGGACTTTCCATTGCGGTGCATTTTATGTCGACGTATTTAATTGAATTTTTACTATACGTGTGTTTTCTTTGTGGTAATTTAAGCATAAAAACTTGACTAAGAACTATATTTTACAGGTTTTAAACTATAAATAGGCATACCCGATAGTGAAAAATAATCTTAAAAATTGAACTTCAATATGTTCGATTTCTAGGAGGACACGGTTAAAACAGCTATTTGCTCACATATAAAGCCCTGTTGTTTTGAGAAAAAACAAATATGATAGCATATTGAAACATATTTTGGGTGCCTATAATATCTAATTTAAGATCAAAATATAGTTTCCACAAAAAAATATTTAAATCTTATAAAAATGTTGTATGTACTTTTGGGACACGGGAAAATCCATATCGACAACAAAATAAAAAAATGCCCATAATATAGATGTAGGTGTAGGTAACATATTAATAAAACAAAATGCTGATCTACTTACATGGTTTATTAATACGACTAAGTCATTAATTTCATGATTTCTTAATAAGTAGGTACAATTATCTCACAAGACAATCTTTAACAAATTAAAATATAATCAATGGTAAATACTATGAACAAAATTTTTTACAATAAAAAAAATTAGGATCACAAAGAGTTTCTGCAGTGACAAATTTTGCCGACAAAGAACCCCACATAATATTATGAGAATACACACAGTTACTCAATAATAACTAAATAACGTTACTAAATAATATTTTGAAGGGGAGGAAAACACCAAATATTGTTATTATCAGAAATAATTAATAAAATAAAAAAATAATTGAGATAATGGAGATGTAAGAAAAATGAAATTAATTTTTTAATTTTGTATTTTCTTTGTTACCAATAAGTTCATAGCGATATCTCATGTACATGACTTTCATTCTGTCCCATGCATTTTCAAAAGAGTCTAAGGCCGGCCTGACATCTAGGAGTGCAAACTGATATTTATTATCAACTTCCCCACCATCATAATAGTCTATTATATACCTTACTTCTTTTCCACACCTGTCTACAATCCAATCATGGCGATCAAAGGGAAGTTCATACCTGAAATAATTATCATTAATTAGAATAGAAATATTTTTTAATTCTCTTAGTGTTACCTGTATTACAACTCTGGGAGAGGCCGCTGATTCCTAAGATACAGACTCGTCTAGTTTGGGAGTCAGAGACTTCAAAAAACTTTTGAGATTTATTTTTGTTGATAATAAAGGATTATTATTATTATTTTGCCGTATGGTGGCGGCATAATCCATCACCACAATGCGCCCCATTGTGTCGTAAGATACGACTAGGATATAATAGTAATAATATAAATAAATAAATTTAATATCGTTTTAGATCATGCCTTAAGAACTAGTAGATTGGAACCTCCATTTAAGCAAAAAATCCCTGTGTTTGGAGGGTCCGCCCTTCCATTACTATATTCATGTTACATGGCAGTATGGGTAAACATATTCTGTATCCTATATGAAAGTTATCTATATATTATATTACTTATATGCACACACACGCGTGTGTGTGTGATTAGAGTGTTTGCATCTGAACAAATCATATAATACGATCCAGAAGCTTCTCAGTTTCGTCATATGTCTTATGTTGAATCCATTTCAACAAAAGTTTTTTACACACACACAAATATATATATATATATATATATATATATATATATATATACTTCTTTGTTTATTTTATTATAAAGAAAGGCAGAACGCGATATGTATTGTCTGCTTGCAAATGTGGTTTTAGCTCTGTACGTCTGGGCAACCATATTTCTACGACGTTTATTAAATGGCTTGGATCATAAAATAATGATTTGTGTGTTTTGAGGATTGTCCAGAATATATACAACTTCCTGACAGAGAGTAAACCACTAGTATGATATAGAAGATCTGCCAATATATATATAATAAGATATGCCAAATATTTAAGTTATATATAACGTAGTTCTATATTTTTTAATGTTTATTTTTGTAATATTGTTCAAATGACCTAATATTTATGGGTTGTTTTATTGATTGTATTTTTTTTATTACTAAAAGTTGATCCGCTGTCCGTCTGTATCAGCATAATAAATAAGTATTTTTATTTATTTTTTATAGGAAAAGGGTGACAACTGGAAAAAAGGGAAAACAGTATATGTGTAATACAGTCATCATTATTTTTATATTTGTTTATTAAATATAACATAATATATTATTACCATATTTTTATGAATATTATTTTTAATAATAATATTTTTTCATTTTTATGCAGTTTATTTTATATTGCATGCATCTACCCATTCAAATATAAAATTACAATGTTTTTCACGTTCAGTTCGGTTCAGGTAGCAATCGCTCAAAGCGATATGACCACCCTTTGTAGTTTATAAGTTTTCTGTTATTGTAATAACTTTATTTAAATACTATAAAGAGTTATCTATCTATCTATCGTTATTATGTTTGCTTGATACAGATTTCCTGCTGTTCCTAGATATATCCATTGTAAAAGCTGTTAATGTTGACTGGTAAAATAGAAATTCAAAGAACTATTTTGGTTACACCATATATATAACTATATTATTATTATTAAAAATAATTTGTAAATATTAGTAAAATACACGTAAATAATAAACAAATTGTTAGAAATGAGGCCTGATTATTTATATACCATTTTTTAGTGAAAAACCCATAGATTATCTACAAAAATATATTGATATATTCGCTATGAATAAATCGTTCAGTTTTAAGTATTTTCTAGGCTACATTCATAACTAGTAACTTAACTACTAGACCATAACATAAAATAATTTTTCCCAATAATCGCGTAGCAGTTAAGCTGCTGGCAACACAATATTGCACGCACACTAGCATCCTTGTAAATTGTCTTATACGCACTACAATATTGAGATGCCGCATTCACATAGCTGTTGTTTTCAGGAAGTGCGGTATCTAGTCTGAACGCGCGAAGACCTATCATTAATCTAAGGTTAATGAAATGCTTTCGAACTATTTATAAATTTTATTGCTATTAAAAATATAAAGGCGCTTTCATATTTTTTAGACCTTGATAGACAAAGGACAAATGTACCATACAGCTTATATCGATTTTATACTTTGTGTAATCGATTTATTTTGGTAAACACTATTTTTCCCTGTAGGTGACACTACCTGTTAAATAATAGAGCGCTAAATTTAAAACATGTAATTAATATATTTTAAGTCAGGAATACAATTTTTTTTTCATAAAAATTAAATGAAACGCTCATGAGGCGTGCACTTTTGGATTTTTAAAATATATTTTTATTTGAAAATGATGCAAAAAAATTTGGAGTCATAAAAATGAAAATGATCGTGAATTGTTTTAAAAAGATTTGAATAAATTGCACTCATGATGTCACAAAAATTTTCTGCAAATAAATATTAGTAAATGCGATGTTGCTACATTTAGCACAAAAACGGCTTTTACTGTACTGTTATGCAATCAGTAGTTATTATATTTTCAACCGACGAAAAACCGAGGAGGTACTCAAGTCGACGCGTATATATATTTTTTATGTATGACCACGCATAACTTTTTACAGAGTGATTCGATTTTGATAATTCTTTTTTTTTATTGAATAGGGTATTCAAAATTGGTCTCATATAAATTTAGAAACAAAAATTGTAACCTAATGGTGGGAAAATAGGGGTGATTTATAACAGGAAAGTCCGATTTTGATGATTCTTTTGTTATTGGATAGAGTATACCTCGAAATTGGTCCCATAAAAATTTGGGGAAAAAATTTACCCTAGGGTGGGAAAATGTGGGTGATTTATTACAGAGTAGTCCGATTTTGATAATTATTTTATATTGGATAGGGTATTACCTCAAAATTGGTCCCATATAAATTTGGAAAAAAATTTATACTAAGGATGATTTAAATAAGGGTGTTATGTGTAAATGAGACCAAACGAAAGTGAAAGGACGCTATATATACCGCGGATATATATAGGATATACACCGCGTATTGGTCTGGTATAGTCGAGACATGCCAGAGAGTCGGTATCATCCTTTCAGAAAAAATAGGTCAATGTGTGAAAGAGTACGAATGTGTAAGCCCGAGGCTGCTATGGATACGAATGAAAGTGTACGCCACAGACATGTCTAAGCCCACTTATATCGGAGAGCAGTTTTGGGACATGATAAGGATGGTGTTGATGAAATGTAAGGAAATGAAAATATTATTATGTTCGGAGATTTTAATGGAAGGGTTGGACTGAAGAGGTCTGGTTATGGAAGGATATTGGGAACGATTGGTGATGAAAGTATAAATGAGAACGGTGAAGGCCTTCTCACCATATGTGTGGAAAAGAATCTTTTTGTGACGAACACTTTCTTTATTCGTAAGAAGATTCACATGTATACATGGGAAAGAGGCGATAATAGAAGCATGATAGATTTCATAATCGTGGATGAAATAATGAGGAGCGCAGCGGTAAATACAAGGGTTTAACGGGGGTTCAACGTCGGGACAGATCATTACTTGGTCTTATATCGAATTAATGGTCTGTTCAAGCGTTGGCGGCAACGGACATCTTTGTGTCTACCACTGTGTTACAGCGTATAAGAATAGAGAAGTTACAAGAAATTACAAAATATAAAAATGAAGATGTGAAAGAAAAAAAAGTATAAATGTAGACTGAAGGAAAATATTAGGTGTTTGAATGAATTGTGTATGAATGATTTAGACTTAAAGGATGTGTGGGATAATGTTAAGAAATGTTTGATGGATGCAGCCACCGAAGTATGTTGTGTAAGTAAGAGAACAAATGAAAGTAAAAATAATACGTATTGGTGGGATGATGAGGTACGGATGGAAGTTGAAGCAATGAATTGTTGCAAATATTCTGGCGGTATGATTGATGAGACTGAAGGAAAAAAGGCAGACTTTAGAAATCTAAATAAAAAAAGAAGAAGAAGAAGTATTTGAAAGGTAAAAGCAAGTAAGAACGGATAAGAATAATAGAAGGATATCTGATAACTTCCAGGCAAATAATAAAATGTTCTGGAAACTCGTAAGAACTGCCAGGGGAAATTCAAATCAGCCTAGAATGAATGCTATACGAGACGAGAACGGATGTGTTCTGAACTTCTGAGTGACGAAGTTACGAGTTTAAAGAGATGGAAGGAATACTTTGAATGCGTGTTTATGAGTGAAGATTCGTCTGAATTAAATGAACTGAAAATTTCGAAAGAAGTGGAAAGGGGTAGGGAGATAAGTGTAGATGAAATAATGAAATCAATGAAAAACACGAAAGCAGGTAAGGCAGCTGGATATTATAGAGAATCACTCGAGATGCTAAGGGCTGGAGAGGGAGTGGTGCCAAGCCTGCTGTAAACCTTGTTTAATTTTTATGTTGTGAATTGAAGCGGGTACCGGAAGACTGGTGTAAAGCAGTTTACAAAGGAAAAGGGTCATAACAGGACTGTAAAAACTACCGTGGTATCAGCTTGCTTAGTATTGTGGGAATACTGTATGCTAAGGTATTAATTGAAAGAGTTATAAAAGAAATTGATAGAAAATTTTGGGATGTGCAAGCGGAACTTAGAAAGGGAATGGTGTGTACAGATCAAATCTTTTTCATGCGCATGATTGCAGAGAAGTTTTTGGCCAAAAACTGGAATGTTTTTATGCGTTCAGGGACTTGGAAAAGGCTTATCACCTTCGAGTTTTATTTTAGAATAAATATTTTTGTACTTATGACTTTTTATTTTCAAGCGACATCTTTCTTCAATGAAAGGACTTAAATAAATATATTTTGCAATGGTAATTAAACTTTATGTTTGAGGTATAAGATTTATAATCCACTTAAGTCGTTAATATTATTAAACTTTTCCCATATTTCATAATAAAAAATATAGATGTTTACGCGTATGCAAACGTTGCCACAATACGCTAAATCGCTAGAGCGATTTATTTTAGTTCCTGATCCTTAATCTAGTACTATTATTGATCGAAGCTTAAGACAGAGGGGACAGAATTGTGTGGTAAACACTGAACTCATTTGGGTTGAGCGCTGGTTTGATACAGGTATTAAGGTCTCTTTATAGGGACTCTAGTGCTTGTGTCAGTATTAACGTTGTCTACTCGGACTGGTTTGGCATACAAAAAGGTGTCAAACACGGTTGTGTAGCTTCCTCGTGGTTGTTCAATCTTTTTATGAACAGTTGTTTGCAAACTTTGAAAGTTGAAGAATGTGGGTTAAGAATGGCCGAGTTAACCGTCAAATGCCTTTTGTACGCCGATGATCAAGTCATATTTGCGTCGTCGGTGGCCGAGTTGCAAATGATGGTTACATTAATTAAATGGTCACTAAAGGCTCCTACACACACACTTGCCGCTGAGCAAACCGCGGTGCACCCGGCTGCTTACAATGCCGCCGGCTTTGTCGCACAGAAGAGCCGCCAGCATGACCACCCGGGTATGCCAGCATGCAAACTTAAACTTTTATGCTTTGTGAGAATGTCCTTTCCCGATCGAGCTGAATCAGTGCTGCAGCAACAAAAAAATAACTCATAAGAATCTAACCCCGGACAACTTATTATCCATGATCACGTTGCATTTCCAACGTTTTTACTTATTATGTTCCAGGGATGATTACTTTCCCATCTGGTGGTAAGCGGTGATAAATTTGTTGATGGGAATTAAATTCTGACTTAGCGTAACAAGAGCCATACACTTATTAAATAACTTTTAGCAAACAATTATACAAGAAAAATAACATGGTACCCTCCTACTTCTATCTTCAGCTATTCCTAATCAGACCAGATAAGGAACTATGCAGTTATTTATGAAATAATCAGTTTTATACTAAACAAATGATTTACATCAATAATTAACTCACAATTTTAGAAAAATTACAACTTACCCTAGCAAAGAACGCATCCTGGCTCTTGGGCTATAATCTGTTGCTTTTCCCCCAAAGCTTTTCAATCTGGGATGTCCACACTCCTTTGCATGTAATGCCTCCCACTTCAAAACCTCCTGCCAAGCCTACAAAGAAATAATGTGTCGTTAATAACAAATTATCAGCTGCGCTTTAAGCCACATACACCAATCAACTTCTTCAATACTATTTTATCGATTAAGGGACTGCACTACACTGCGCTTGCAGAACGAAGATCAACAACCTTTAAAGGGTCCTTCTTGGTTTGATCCATTATATGAGTGAAAACTACGCTGAATGCGTCATAAATTATAATAATAATAATAATAATAATTCTTTATTTAAATCACAAGGTATTTTAACATAAATAAGTGGCTAGAGCCTCCCTTTAAGCACAGAGCGCCTGTAGTAGGAGGCTCCGCTCTTCCACAACTTCACAAACAAAATCTTATGAAATACTTTTAGACTACTAATATAAAAACGTGCATGCTTGTGTGGTGTGTGTGTGTGTGTGTGTGTGTGTGTGTGTGTGTGTGTGTGTGTGTGTGTGTGTGTGTATGTGTGTGCGTGCGTGAGTGCAAGCGTGCGTGCGTGTGTGTGTGCGTGCTGTACTTATTTGAGTATTCATATGAGCGACTTTTCAAGGAGAGACTCAATTTCCTCATAATCAAGTGGTTGTAGATACTTTTTTTACTGCATTTTTACATTCGTAATGGGTCATTGTGTAAATTCCTACATGTTTATTAATTTTGTTGTATAATTCTGCTGCGCGTTTACTATACTGAACTCTAGCAAAAAACGTGTGAGTATTGGGAACTTGTGCTACTAATTCTTTTCTCCTCTTTTGTAAAATATTTGGATTAAAAGATAGGGACTTATGTTTCTTTAATATTGTGTGCAGTACATAAATTTTTCGTACTGATAATAACTGTGTTTCATTGTAAAGACTTGTAGTAGGATATCTTCTGTTTTTAAAATACATATTTTTAATTAAACCACGTTGCGCACGTTCCAAGTGGATAAATTTTGTTTTGCAAGCACCCCCCCCATATAGATATACAGTACCCCAAAACGGATTGTACCAAAGCTGTGTATATATCGCATAAGGCAGTTCAAAGTTTTTTTTTAGGCCAATTCATTCAGAGACAATCTCAAAATATATCGAATATCGTGTAGATAGTACATATGGTCTTAATTAAAATTTGACATTGTGGACTCTTAGAAAAAATTGAACTTAAATGTTCTAAGTAGGACATAGAGAACCGGTCCCTTTCCAGGAACCGGTTCTTTCGGTTTCAAAATTATGCCGGAACCGGGTACCCGGTTCGTTCGGTTCTTTTCTTACTTTTAGGTTGGAGGCTACTTTCGTTTAATGTTGAACAACGATGTTATAATCATATTTATAAATAAAACAGTTTATTGCAAATCGCCTTAAAGCCTTTTCGTCTTTGATAAAAATCATTTCTGAATCATAATGGAGTACTTAATCCATCTAAATATTATAAAATATAAATGATTAGTTCTTTTTATTTGGTAAACATAAAGTATTTTTAAAAGTAATTATTCACGTAATACTTGCAATAGTTCATTTCTAAGTAAATACAGTAAGGAAAACACATATATGCAAAAAATGTCACCACAAGTAATAGCAGTCCATAGAAGTATAGTATAATTAAATATTAATTTAACCTTTTGAGCGCCAAAGTCGTCTATACGTGACCAGCACCCGCGTGCCCTGAGCGCCAACGACGTCTATAGATGACAAAAAACCCGGCCCACAAAAATATGAAATATAGACATTGGAAAATTATTACTGGTATTTTAATTCTACACCCCTCAAAAAAAGAATAACCCAGCAACATGTGAGTATAAAAAACAAGTCTTCTAGAGCCACAAGTACTAAGAAACATTGAACTAAAAAAAATGGATTTTTATCTAAGCAAATACTATGTCCAGCACGCCAAAGTCGTCTATGTTAGACCGCTAGTGTTGTAATGCGTTAGCCATATATTTATTGAAAACTATTCAAAATTAAGCTCAAACGTGTTATTTTTTTCTATTATTATAGATATTTAAATAAAACAAAAGGTTAGAAATATAAAACTATAATTAGCTACATGAATTTAAAAAAAAATTAACAAATTATCTTCGCATAATAAATCTAATATCTCAACTCTGGCGCATCCTTAGCGCGACATCGAAAATCAGTTCACTGGGCGCCGTGGTCAAGTATAGACGACACACTGATGACGTCATAAGCGATTAGCGGGAAAATTAGTGCAGTGCAACATGAACGATTCCTCAGAACTCATTCGGATTTTGGAAAGCGTCGACGATGATGAATTTTCGGAAATTTAAAATTATCGTGAAACCAAAGTTTTTCGTTTTCGATTAACTCTACCTCAATGAGGTAGGAATACACTTTATAGTCTTTTTACGGTTAATTTCTTTTTATAGCATAGGGTAATAAACGAGCACACAGTCCACCTGATGGTAAGTGGTTGCTGTGGCCCATAGACATTTACATCTATCCTCGATTACGAATCAAAATGCAGATGCGCTCTCACCCGTGAGGACTTAGATGGAATGCCTCGTTTCCAGTAAAGAGGGTCTCCGGTTCTCTACACTTACCATACGAAACACAGCAGCATTAAGCTACTATTTGATGCCGATATTCCATGAGAGCGTGGTTCTTCCCCGGTTGAGCCGACCCATTCGTGCTACAACTACTAACTCCCGTAATATAACTGCAGCATGGCTCTACCACGTTAGAAAATTTGCTTTGGCCAGCTAAACATTTATGTTTTATTATTCCATAAGATTTTTATTATTTTAAGACTAATATTACCTATAATTTATTAATTATTTTTAATTGTTGTTTTCTATATTAAGTACTGATTGAGTTAAAGACCAAGATTTTAATATTTTATGACTAGACCTAGTGCAAATAATTATTTACAATTGTTGAATAATTATGTACCCTTTGTTGATTTCTGTAATAAGTACTGATTTTTTTATTCCATGACCAAAATTTTAATATTATAAGACTGATTTTTCTAGTGCGAATAATTACCTATATACAGTTGTTGATTAGTGAATAATTACGTACCTTTTCTACTTTAATAATATTAAATTACAAATAATAAATGTGTTTTCTTTACTTAAGGTATGAAGAGCAATTTTCATTTTGTGTTGTGCGATTTTCTTTCTCAATCTCAAAATCATTTAGCAACATCAGTATCATATGAAACCCCCTTTATCATAAGAGCGTAAGACTTTTCTTCTGTGATTCACTTGGCCTACGCCTTGCCATAAAATATTTTGAATAGATGTCTGTATATTTTGATTACATCGATTTTGAAATCGATACACAACGTGCGACACGGCTACATCTCTAAGAAAGTTTCAAAAAGAAAGGTCAGCTACGCCGTTGTCATCCAGTCGTGACAGTGACGTCATCACGACGGAGAGTAGTGTTGTGGTTTACTACTATTTTATTGTTATTGTTTGCTTTTTATTTATGTACAAAGTACATATATAAAAAGAGTGGAAGACAGCACAAGATTAAATAAAACATACCCGATTATAAAGACTCATTTATTGTATAAAAAACCAACAAAAACAAGTTATTTTGTGTTATCGATATATCAACTCTTGGCAGCACTGTTTTTTTCGTAGGTATTTTTGTTTACTTTTCGCTTTGGCGTACAGGACACGGTAGTGAGTTTTTGGCGTGGCGCTCAAAAGGTTAAAAACCGTAAATTAAAAAATTTAAATTTTGAAACATAATAAATATCTAAATAAATTCAGTAAAAGTAAACACTCTGTTTAGAAAACGTACCTTGACCCCTTGGAAGAGTGGCAACATTGCACGCGGACGGCATGGCAGCCGGCAACGGCCTAAACTTTTCACTAAACTGGTTTATTTTTACCGCCACTTTTTTATTTCGCGATAACGAAACTGAACGAAATAAATATTAATACAAATAAGTTGAAAGATTTATTGGAAATATATGGAACACAAGAGTTAAGTAGTGTCAATATCACACTAAAAATAATAAAAATAAACTTAAAAACTTACACACACAAAGTCAATTTAGCTAATTGACTTTGTGTGTATGAGTAACAATATATATATATATATATATATATATATATATATATATACTAGCTTGTCAGGCAGACGATGTTCTGCCCTTTTCGACGACCCTTTGTCATGTCCTATTAAAAATCCTTAAATTCGCAAAAAAAAATTTGATTAAAATTGGGTAAATAGTTTAGGAGTCCATCGCGGACAAACAACGTGACACGTAATTTATATATATTAAGATGTCTATTTCACCGTCAGAAAACTGTTTAACTATTTGTGTTTATCTTACTTAAAATAAATCACTTGAAGCAATGCGGTGAACTGAAAGCGAAACTTCCAACTTCCAAAATGGGGAAAATAATAATACTCTACGACATAGGCGTGCGCGCAAGTGCGCCGTCGCCTTTGAAGGACGCCGCCTAAAGACACCGCTGTCGACGAACATACTCTCACATCGTGATAGTTTGCACTGCGTGGCAACGTCGTTTTTTAATGTTCAAGTAATCAAGTTCATTGAAACATTGACCTAGTGACCTAATTCAACAGTAAGTTCAAATTAGCTCGAATTTTACTTTTTACTTAATTACTGGACCGATTTCGTTCATTTTTTGCAAATCGTTAGCAAAGACGATAACAAGTATATAGTTTCATTTATTTCATATATGTGGTACCCATTCTGTATAAAACAAATCAAACATTTCACTATTTTCATTTTACAATCACACGTAAACATTTATTTCACGTTTCTTAAATTTTAATATCAATCAACATAAAAATAATATAGAATAGAAATTGTATTCTATAATAACAAAACAATATTCTACCACAGAATATACTTTACGGATACTGTTATTAAAACAAACTTTTAATTACCTCAATTATGAAAAAAAAAAATTGTTTTAATTAAACGTTTCTTCTTAATTTTACTTTAAAAAAAAGAACGCAGAAAAATTAACGCATCCAAGCTTTGTCACTTAAATACGAGCGCAGCCGATTACAAACTATGCCGGCTGTAGA